CTTGACCCGTGGGCCTCCCCAGCACGGCCACTTGCTGCTGCAGAGCCCACAGAGCAGAGGGCCGGCAACTCCAGCAGAATGGGCGCTGCAGTCGGTGTGAGGGAACCCGTCATTGTGTCGGTGCCACCACGGTGGACATGTGCTCTCCTGCTGTCCTCAGATGTGTTCCTGGATGGGGCTGGATGGGATCAGAATCAGTGGGGTGGGTGCCAGGGTGTCCTACCAGGAGCCACCATTTGGGGTTGAGTGACAGTGTGTGTGTGAGGAGGGTGTGGGCACGAGGTGCCTGTGGACTTAGAAACTTGAGAGAAGTGGCCGCCTAATTGTCATTTGAATGATCTGACTGGGTGTGTCTCTGTCCCACAGCCTGACCATTTCCTGACCCAAGGCCCTGAAGATCAGCAAGTGGAGCAGGGGCCCAGGACAGGAAGCACTTACTGGGCTTTTCCCCAAAGGCCTCGGCTGAGAGTCCAGAATCACCGTCCATGGAACGACCAGGGAGGAGGCGCGATCTCCTGAGAGCTGGGGCTGCATCTGTGATTCTTGGGGGCAGGAGTCCTGCAGCTGTGGGTGCGGGTTTGCGTTTCCTCCAGCTCCCACTCTAGCACCCAAACTAGCCGTCCCTGACCAGGCCCCTCATGGACTTCTACCCTCTGCCCTGTGCACAGGTGCAGGCCCAGGCTCATGCAGCCCAGCCCAGGGCCCTGGGGCCACCGCACAGAAGTTCCCGTATCCTTGGAGGGCAATGGGTGAGAACCTGCACGGCAGGTTGACTACTCAGTCACATAGGACAATCTCCTCGCACCCAAGAGAGAAGAAATGAGATTTCTTTTTTTTAAAATATATTTTATTGATTTTTTACAGAGAGGAAGGGAGAGAGATAGAGAGTTAGAAACATCGATGAGAGAGAAACATCGATCATTTGCCTCCTGCACATCTCCTACTGGGGATGTGCCCGCAACCCAGATACATGCCCTTGACCGGAATCGAACCTGGGACCTTTCAGTCCGCAGGCCGATGCTCTATCCACTGAGCCAAACCGGTTTCGGCAAGAAATGAGATTTCACTGGCTCCTTCCTGCCATATTCCTATGGATCAAACTTTGCCCCCTCTATCCTCAGGCCAGGGAAATATGTGGGTATTTTGCTTTTAGGAAAATGACCAAAGAGTATGGAAGGCCACTCAAAGTTCTAAGAGTGACTCTGTTTTAGTCTGTTTGGGCTGCTCTGACAAAAATACCATAAACTGCATGGCTTATAAGCAACAATTTACTACTCATAGTTCTGCAGGCTGGGAAGGCCAAGATCATGGTGCTGGTAGTTTCAGTGTCTGCTGAGGGCCTGCTTTCTGGTTCATTGACAACCTTCCCTTCACTGGGTCCTCACTTTGTGGAAGGGGCACTAATGCCAGTCAGGAATGCTCCACTCTCATGACCTAAGCACCTCCTGAAGGCCCACCTCCAAACACCATCACATACAGCATATGGTTTCCACATGGGAATTTCAGGGGGCGGGGCAGGCACAAGTATTCAGTCCTCTCAGCACGCTCCTTCTTGGACTGAAGTCTGCGGAGAAGAGGCATTTGAGCTAAACCCTGAGGGTTGGCATTCCAAATAAAGAAATGAGGATGTACCCAGATCCCAAGACCACAAAGTGCAAGGAGTGTTTGGGGACACTCAGGAGATGATCTTAGTGCAGACATAGGTTTCAGCCAATTTTATATTTCAGGATAAAGAATTTGAACTTGATTTCTTAGGCCATAAGTTGTCTATTGAATATATATAGTTTTCACCTGAAGATTTATTTATTTATTTAGAGAGAGAGAAAAAGAGGGAGACATCTATGTGAGAGAGAAACTTCAATCGATTGCCTCCTGCATGCCCCCTCACCCGGGATCAAACTGCAACCTCGGTATGTGCCCTGATTGGAAATCAAACTCACAACCTTTTTTGGTTACAGGAGGACGCTCAACCAATTGAACAACGGGGTCAGAGCTCCATTGATATTTTTAAAAAATATGTATTTCTTTATTGATTTCAGAGAGGAAGGAAGGAGACAGAGATAGAAACACCATTGATAAGAGAGAATCATCAATCAGCTGGCTCCTGCACACCCCCTACTGGGGATGGAGGATGGAGCCTGCAACCCAGGCATATGCCCTTGTCCAGAATAGAACCCGGGACCCCTCAGTCCGCAGGCTGAAGCTGTATCCACTGAGCCAAGCCGGCTAGGGCTCCATTGATATTTTTAACCTAGAGATCCTATGCAGTGGGAGTGTAGAGCTCGGGAAAGTTTTCTAGTTTCCATCAGTGTGTGATTGTACAGCTAAGTCCACGGAGAGGGAGGGCAGGTAAAGCTGGGTTCTCCATCCAGGTCTAGGGGTCACGGGGGGGGGGGGTGTGTGTGAAGCTCAGAAATTGCACGCCATGTGTCTGTGAGGACCTCCATGTCTTTCCTGCACTTTTCACAGGGTCTGGCCCTACAGGGTGAAAGAGCACCGGCACAGAGGAAATCAGCGCGCCCCTCACCGCCCCAATCCCACGGGGGAGCGAGCAAAACCAGCCTGGAAGTGCGCAGCTCAGGGTGGAGGCAGCTCGGGCTCGTAGTGACAGGACCGGGCGCAGACGGAGAGGCCGGGACGGTCCTGTCACAGCTCAGACTCCAGCTGACCGGGTCCTGGTTCTGGCTCCACGCTGCGCTGGGGACGGAGGCGGTACCGGCGGGCGGCCCCAGCAGCCTCCCCGAGGCGAGTAGAGCCGGACCGCGGGCTGAGGCACCTCCCGCGAGACCCGGTCCTTCCAGGCCCCGCCCCCCGGGCCCCGCGCAAAGCAGGACGGGACACTAAGATGGGTCCCATCGTTTGGTTTTAGAGCGGCAGCCAACGCCCGCGGTCCTCAGCTGCCGGTCGCTGTTTCTCGGGAGCGGGGGACGGAGCGGGAGGAAACGCTGCAGCGGCGGCGGAGTCCCCGTGACCGACTCTGCTGTGGCCCCGAGGGCGCAGCCGGGCTCCCCGCGCCTCACGCGTCCCGAGTGACTCAGGCGAGGCCCGGCCGGCGGCTCTGCCGATCGCCGCGTGTCCCTGACCCTGCACCCGACCGCCCCGGCCGGCGTGGCCTGGGGGCTGGGCTCCGGGCGCCCCTCCCCGTGCCGCCCCCCTGCCTCCTTCCGAGCTGAGCTTGGTGTCCGCGCGGCCGCAGCTCCGGGCCGGCCCGCCCCGCGGCCGGCGCTGCCTGAGGCCCGGCTCAGCCCGCGGGTCTCGCCAACTCTGAGGCCCTGGAGGCGGCCCTTACGCCGGACCCGGCTCCGGTGCCTTCCGTGCCTTCGGGTTCCCCTGATCCGCCTAGCGGTGCCCCTGGCAGGTCCTTGTTCCCAGGAAGCGAGGCCGCGGTCTCCATGGGAGCGCATCAGTTCAATGCGGTGCTGTTACAGGGGCCCCGGGAAGCGCACACACAAGTTGGGGCCGCAAAAGATCTAAATATACTAATCAGCACAAAGTGGTCATTGTTCTGTGCAGGCGATTCTTTAATCACTGATTCTGTGGCTTCCTCTCAGAGTGTTAATATGTTGGTTATCCCGTTGACTAGAATATAGGAAGACCGGCTGGTTTTTGTGGGTTTTTTGTGTAAGTTTTATAAGGCTCTGTGGGGTGCACAGTCCTCTGCCAGGGGCTGTAGCAAACAGTAGCAAACAGGAGCCATACCAAGCAGCCACGCACCGGCTGGTTAGTAACACGTTTATACTAACTTAGACACAAAGGCTTCCTGCCAAATAGTGACATCAGTATTTGGGTTAGAGTAAGGTACTCCTGCCCAGTGTGTTCAGTGCAATCTCTGTGTCCTTGCTTAGATTGGCCTTGAACATCCTGATTAGGGTTCTCCTGCTCAGATTGGCCTTGAACATCCAGCTACTCTGATTAGGCTCCCACAGGCACTATCTCAGTCATGGCCCAGGTTTAAGTGTTCTCAAAACTGACTGATCAGAAGGAGGAAAAAGTGTCATGAATGTGACACAACCGTTATCTCAGGAATAACACTTAATTCACAGAAAACATAACTACAACCCTAGAGGAGTTGCATGGGAACCACAGGCTCAGATATTTCAGCCAAGAAAGCTGCTGGTGCCAAGAAGACCTCAGAGGAGAAACGAAGTCAAATTAAACTGTTTGTGATGTGAAAGCCATTTCAAACACTGTTTTTAAAAGTTGTCTAGTGCTGACATGAATGTTTGTTTTTATTCCTGTATTTGAGGATTGCAGCTTAACTGCTATGCCACAAAACCGTTTTTCATATGAGAGTTGTCTCTGAGACAGAACTGGCATCCACCTTCTACAGTGTCCGAATTTGACTGGCTGTCAGTTACTGTTCGTAGAAATGTTCTGGAAGTAAGGGGTGAGGGCTGTTTCCACCCACAGCTCATCCACTTCTTTGTAGTAATAAGCTGAACTGTAGTAGATTATGTTCTTTAAAAGCTAGAACTGTTAAGTTTGCAAACAAGCATGACTATTCCATTGCCAGTTATTTTATTCATGCCTTGGTCTTTTGGGTTTGCACCAGAAATTGGAATTGCTTGCCATTATGTGTTTAGGTGGATTGAGGCTCAAAATTAATGATGACATTTAATAGTTTCTTAAAGCATCAAGTGGTTCAACTTTTGATGAATTAAAAATGATATGTAGTTTTTGTTTCATTTCAATATGCCAGTGATCTGTTAGGTGTGCTTTTTAAATGTTGTCCTAGCATTTGAACAGAAATGCCCTTAAATGTTGAGAGCCATTTACTATAAAGTAAAACTTGTCTAAATCCTTAAATGTGAAATGTGGAGAAATTAGTGAGTAGTAGTAGGAAATGTAGGATCAATATTGTCGGACATAAGTGCTTATCTCTCAGCCAAGTGATTTCCTACAGTTGATTATGTCAGCAACTAACATGTAGCTGTAATGTTATGTGCTGATAGTGTAAGGTAACTATGAAATGGTAACTAATTACCTGAAAGAATCAGATCTGGAATGCCCTTTGATGTTATGATTACTTGTACACCTACAATGTGATAGGATTGTATGACACTCATCTAAGGATTAATGGCTCTTCTGTATACTTCTGATAATTTTCTTCTCGTTTTGATTCCAAAAGCTGGCCAGAATGTGTTTGAATTCATACAGAAATAATGTTGATATCTAAAATCCATGTTGAACTTCTCTGAAGAAAGGGCAACAATGATTGCAGCTGTGGATTTGCAGGAATTTGTTCCTTTCGGTCGAGACCACTGCAAACACCACCCTATGCTTTGAACCTTCAGCTTCAGCAGCTGCAGCCAGCCTCTGAGCTGTGGTCGTCTGATGGTGCTGCTGGCTTGGTGGGATCCCTGCAGGAGGTTACACTCCACGAAAAACAGAAGGTTTTATTAAGATTCTCAGTTTGCTTTTGAAATGTAGAGAGATTCGATCTACTTGTAATTTAAGGCTACCCAGATGCAACTGAGAAATGAGTATGATGCTACTTCTAGGGTATAGGTTAAGATTTGCTAATTTTTATCAAAGCTAAAAATAATGACCTTAATTGTATTATAGTGTCATGGCTGTTTAGACATATAACTCAGGGATTTATAATGAGAGTTGCTATGATTATGGTCCATTTATTTTTTTTTCCCAATTCAATCCGAACCTTAAACTTTTATTTTATTTATTTTTCGCTAAAAGTATTACAAAGGGTATTACATAAGTGTCCTTTTTTCCCCCCCGCCCTTGACAAGCCCCTGCCCTCCCTTACCCCCCAGTGTCTTATGTCCATTAGTTGTGGTTATATGGATGCATACAAGTCCTTCGGTTGATCTCTTACTCCCCTCCCTCCTGTCCCCCAACCCTCCCTGGCCTTCCCACTGCAGTCCGACAATCAGTTTCAGGCAGCTCTGCCACTGTATTTATTATTGTTCAAAAGTTTGTAATGGTCTTAATTATCCATGAAAGAGTGAGATCATGTGGTATTTTTCCTTCATTGACTGGCTTGTTTCACTTAGCATAATGCTCTCCAGTTCCATCCATGCTGTTGCAAATGGTAAGAGTTCCTTCTTTTTAACAGCAGCATAGTATTCCATCGTGTAGATGTACCACAGTTTTCTAATCCATTCATCTACTGATGGGCACTTAGGCTGTTTCCAGATCTTAGCTATGGTGAATTGTGCTGCTATGAACATCTGGGTGCATATATCCTTTCTGATTGGTGTTTCTGGTTTCTTGGGATATATTCCTAGAAGTGGGATCACAGGGTCAAATGGGAGTTCCATTTCCAATTTTTTGAGGAACCTCCATACTGCCTTCCATAGTGGTTGCACCAGTCTGCATTCCCACCAGCAGTGCACAAGTGTTTCTTTTTCTCCACATCCTCTCCAGCACTTGTCGTTTGTTGATTTGTTGATGATGGCCATTCTGACAGGTGTGAGATGGTATCTCGTTGTTTTGATTTGCATCTCTCGGATGATTAGTGACTTTGAGCATGTTTTCATATGTCTCTTGGCTTTCTGAATGTCCTCTTTTGAAAGGTGTCTATTTAGATCCTTTGCCCATTTTTTGATTGGATTGTTTATCTTCTTTTTGTTAAGTTGTATGAGTTCCCTATAAATTTTGGAGATTAAGCCCTTATCAGATATGACGTTGGCAAATATGTTTTCCCACGAGGTGGGTTTTCTTGTTGTTTTGTTGATGGTTTCTTTTGCTGTGCAGAAGCTTTTTATTTTGATGTTGTCCCATTTGTTCAGTTTCTCTTTAGTTTCAACTGCCCTAGGAGCTGTATCAGTGAAGAAATTGTTTTGGCATATGTCTGAGATTTTGTTGCCTTTGTATTCTTCTAGAATTTTTATGGTTTCCTGTCGTACATTTAAGTCCTTTATCCATTTTGAGTTTATTCTTGTGTATGGTGTAAGTTGGTGGTCTAGTTTCATTTTCTTGCATCTATCTGTCCAATTTTCCCAACACCATTTATTGAAGAGACTATCTTGGCTCCATTGTATGTTCATGCCTCCTTTGTCAAAAATTAATTGAGCATATTGGTTCGGGCTAATTTCTGGACTCTCTATTCTATTCCACTGATCTATATGTCTGTTCTTGTGCCAGTACCAGGCAGTTTTGAGAACAGTGGCTTTGTAATACAGCTTGATATCTGGCATTGAGATCCCACCTACTTTGTTCTTTCTCAGGATCGTTGCAGCTATTCGGGATCTTTTTTTATTCCAGATGAATTTTTGGAGAGTTCGTTCTAGATCTTTGAAGAAGGCCATTGGTATTTTAATGGGAAGTGCGTTGAATTTATAGATTGCTTTGGGTAGTATGGACATTTTAATGATGTTGATTCTACCAATCCAAGAACATGGTATGTTCTTCCATCTGTTTATGTCTTCCTCTATCTCTTTTTTCAGCGTCCTGTAGTTTTCTGAGTAGAGGTCTTTAACCTCTTTAGTTAAGTTTATTCCTAGGTATCTTAATTTTTTTGGTGCGATGGTAAATGGGATTGTTTTTATAATCTCTCTTTCTGAAAGTTCACTATTGGTGTATAGAAATGCCTCAGATTTCTTGGGGTTAATTTTGTATCCTGCTACATTGCCAAATTCATGTATTAAGTCTAGTAGCTTTTTGATGGAGTCTCTAGGGGTTTGTTTGTATAATATCATGTCATCTGCAAATAAGGACAGTTTTACTTCCTCTTTTCCAATTTGGATGCCTTTTATTTCTTCTTCTTGCCTAATTGCAATGGCTAATACTTCCAGTACTATGTTGAACAGGAGTGGTGAGAGTGGGCATCCCTGTCTTGTTCCTGTTCTTAGGGGAAATGGTGTTAGTTTTTGTCCATTGAGTATGATGTTGGCTGTGGGCCTGTCATATATGGCTTTTATTATGTTGAGGTATGATCCTTCTATTCCCACCTTTCTGAGAGTTTTTATCAAAAATGGGTGTTGGATTTTGTCGAATGCTTTTTCTGCATCAATTGATATGACCATGTGGTTTTTTTTTCTTTCAATTTGTTTATGTGATGTATCACATTTATTGATTTACGGATGTTGTACCATCCTTGCATCTATGGGATAAATCCTACTTGGTCATGGTGTATGATCCTTCTGATGTACTGCTGGATCCGATTTGCTAAGATTTTGTTGAGGATTTTGGCATCTATGTTCATGAGGGATATTGGCCTGTAATTCTCTTTCATTGTGATGTCTTTACCTGGTTTTGGTATTAGGGTGATGCTGGCTTCATAGAATGAGCTTGGAAGTGTTCCTTCCTCTTGAATTTTTGTAGTAGTCTGAGGAGGGTAGGTTTTAGTTCTTCCTTGAATGTTTGGTAAAACTCCCCTGTGAAGCCGTCTGGCCCTGGGCTTTTGTTTGTTGGAAGCTTTCTGATGACTGCTTCAATATCTTCCATAGTTATTGGCCTATTGAGGTTTTTAGATTCTTCCTGATTGAGTTTTGGAATGTTGTATTTTTCTAGGAATTTGTCCATTTCCTCCAGGTTGTCTAGTTTGTTGGAGTAGAGTTGCCCGTAGTATTGTTTAACAATCATTTGTATTTCTGTGGGGTCTGTTGTTATTTGGCCTCTATCATTTCTGATTTGGTTTATTTGGGACCTCTCTCTTTGCTTCTTGGTGAGCCTGGCTAGGGGTTTGTCAATCTTGTTTATCCTTTCAAAGAACCAGCTCTTGGTTTCATTGATTTTCTGTATTGTTTTTTTGGTCTCTATTTCATTGATTTCTGCTCTAATCTTTATTATCTCCTTCCTTCTGCTCACTCTGGGGTTTTCTTGTTGCTCTCTAATTCTTTGAGTTGTAGAGTTAGATGATTAACTACCATTTTTTCTTGTTTTTTGAGATAGGCCTGTAGAGCTATAAACCTCCCTCTCAGGACTGCTTTCATTGTGTCCCAGAGGTTTTGGATTGTTGTGTTTTCATTGTCATTAGTGTCCAGGATGTTTTTAATTTCTTCTTTGATGTCATTGGTAACCCAATGAATATTTAATAACATGCTATTCAGCTTCCAAGTGTTTGAGTATTTTGGGTTGTTTTTATTGTAGTTTATTTCTAACATTATGCCATCGTGGTCTGAGAAGATGCTTTTTATGATTTCAATCTTCTTGAATTTGTGGAGACTTTGCTTGTGACCCAATATGTGGTCTATTTTTGAATGTGTCCCATGAGCACCTGAGAGGAATGTATATTCCGCAGCTGTGGAGTGAAGTGTTCTGAAGATGTCAATTAAGTCCATCTGATCTAGTGAGTCATTTAGGATTGCTGTTTCTTTGCTGATTTTTGTCTACCGGATTTATCCAGTGATGTCAGTGGTGTATTAAAGTCCCCTACTATGATTGTATTGTTGTCGATCTCTCCCCTGATATCTTCCAGAAGTTTTCTTATGTATGTGGGTGCTCCTGCATTGGGTGCATATATGTTTACCAGGGTTATATCTCCTTGTTGTATTGATCCCTTTAGTATTATGAAGTGGCCTTCCTTATCTCTGGTTATGGCCTTCACTTTGAGATGTATTTTGTCAGATATAAGTATTGCTACCCCAGCTTTCTTTTCCTTTCCATTTGCGTGAAAGATATTTTTCCATCCCTTCACTTTCAGTCTGTGTGAGTCCCTTCTAATGAGGTGGGTCTCTTGTAGACAGCAGATGTATGGGTCATTTTTTTTATCCATTCAGCCACTCGATGTCTTTTGGTTGGAGCATTTAGTCCATTTACATTTAAAGTTATTATTGAAAGGTACTTGTTTGTAGCCATTTCTTTTTGTGTGTGTGTGTGGCTGTTTTCTTTCTGAGCTTGATGTTTCTTCTTTTTACACCAGTCCCTTTAGCATTTCTTGCTTGGCTGGCTTGGTGGTGATAAACTCCCTTAGCCCTTTTTTGTCTGTGAAGCTTCTTATTTCCCCTTCAATTTTGAATGATAGCCTTGCTCATAGAGTATTCTTATATTCAGTCCTTTGCTTTGCATCACTTTGTAGATTTCCGTCCATTCTTTTCTGGCCTGATGTGTTTCTGTTGAGAAATCATTTGATAATCTAATGGGAGATCCCTTGTATGTTACTTTCCGTCTCTCTCTTGCAGCCTGTAAGATTCTCTCTTTATCCTGAACATTTGCCATGGTAATTATGATGTGTCTTGGTGTGGGTCTTTTCTGGTTCACCTTGTTTGGGACTCTCTGGGCTTGTGTGACTTTTTTCTTCCCCACCTCAGGGTAGTTTTCTGATATTATTTCTTCGAATAGGTTTTCTAATCCATGTTCATCTTTCTGTTGTTCTGGCACCCCTGTTATTCGTATGTTGTTTCGTTTCATGTTGTCCCAAAGCTCCCTTAGGCTCTCCTCCTGTCTTTTAATTTTTTTCTTCATTTGCAGTACAGTTTGAGTGTGTTTTGCTTCCTTGTCTTCTAATTCACTAATTCGGTCCTCCGCTTCTCCCAGTCTACTGTTGATACTTTCAATGGTGTTTTTTATTGCAGCTATGTCGCTCTTCATTTCTTCTTGGGACTTACTTAAGTTATTGTTTTTTTCATCTGTTTCTTCTAGCTTCTTGCATAAGTAGTTGAGTTTTTCATCTGTTTCTTCTTGCTTCTTGAACATCTGGTGCATGTACTCTAGGAACCTTATTCTGAATTCTTTTTCCGTCATGTTGCATATCTTTGTCTCACTTAGCTGCTTTCCTGGCGAGTCCTCCTTTTCTTTCCTTTGGGGGTTTCTTTGTCTACCCATGTTTGATCTCACTGACATGACTAGTTGTTGAGTCGTTCAGTGGCTGGACCCTGGGTGGCAGTGGCTGCTCCCTGGGTGGCAGTGGCTCCTCGGGCTGTGGTTGCTCCTTGGGCGGTTGTGGTAGCAGCGGCTCCTCTGTTGATAGCAGAGCCTCTGGTGGGTGCTGTTCACAGCTGTGGTGGCTCTTCTGGCTGGTGGAGGGAGGCTTCACAGACAGCAACTGTTCCCCAGGCAGAGCGTGTGATGATCAGGAGGCCGCTGTTGCTTGAATCGCGGCCAGTCAGACTCTACGGATTGGGGGGGTCCCTGAATGGTTTTGGGGAACCCGGACGAGCCCCCAAATGTTATGCCCAGATTTCAGGATCCCCAAGAAACCACATCAGGGAGCCAGCCAGTCCGATGCAAAAGCATAAGAGTCTTTATTCGAGCTAGCTCGGCTCCCCCACCTTGCCGACGCAGCGACAGGAAGCAGAGAGCGATTATGATCCATTTAAATCTCTTTTTCTTCACTTAGTATATGGGACCGGATTTCATGTTATTTGATGGTTAGATAGTAGAGTTAGCAATGGTCCCTGCTGCCAAAAACTTCCATGTTTCTAGAGGAGAAAAGAAATGCCACATAAGTAGATACAGTACTAGATTTTAAATAGGGGAATGAGAAGTAAGTGCATGTTAAACAGTCAGTCTTTCTCATCTTAATTCCATTTCTGTATCCCTTTTGGGATACCAAAATTTCCAGCAGCAGAAGTCTGTAGTTAGGAATCCAAACCTTTCTCTGCCCTGTTCATTTTGATGGTTGGCACAAGGGCAGGAAGGTGAATGTATATGCAGTTGTGAATCAGGGAAATCTGCATGGTGGGTAAGCTCCCCCAGTGTCCCATGTGCACTTCACTGCCCCCTCTGCTTCACCCCCCATATGCTTAATACGTCTTTAGTCTCCCAAGAATGTTGGCTTAATTTTTGGATATATAGGTAAGGTCTAATTTTTGTTTATTTATATTTTTGGCAGCATAAAATGGTAATGTAATAATAAATACTTAATATAGAGTATTCTTGAGGTAAATTCTCATTTTTGAAATCCTGTAAGATATAGTATGATACATACACCCACACCCCCTCCTCTGTTAATCAGTGGCACCAAACCTAAGAGTTGGGCTTGGATTGAGTCTTACTCCACAGACAGAGAGTAAGAGACTTGTATCTGGATTGCTGTTCAATTTTAATTAATAAATCTTGCTCCATAATGTTGCAAAAGAAATAAAAACTGCTTAAACATGTCTTACGTATGTAAATTTTTAAGGAAAGCTGGCAGCTAAGGAGAGGCGGAAGTGAAATTGGAGATGTGGATTATGACAAGGAACTCAATGTGGCTGGAAATATGGTGATATGGAGCAAAGGAAGTACAAGCCAGGCCTTTACAAGGCCTTTATAGTTAATAGTCCTGTTCAACAGGTGAGTTGATTTGAATTTTAGTATTTGATTGATTATTGAGTAATTTTTTAAAAACAAAGCTTTTATTTTAAAATTTAACAGAAATAATAAAAACAAAATATAATGATCCCAGTAGCTAGATATATGTTTTAACATGTAGTGAAGATAATGGTAGGGAAATAAACATTTCATTTATTTTCTGTATCATTTTTTTACATTGTTCTTTGTCAATTTAATGGTAATGTTTAAACACTTGAGTAATTCAATTAGTTATTGCCAAAAAAATTTATAAGACTTAATTTTAAGGGTATAAGAATATATTAGCACATGATTATATTTGGTTGCAAAGTGTTGAATAAATAAAAATCAGGTTCATAGTAAAAATACTCAGAGAGTAAGGGAAAGGAAAAAAAATCTAATTTGCTGTCATTGCACATGCTCAGGTTGCTGGCTCGATCCCCAGTAGGGGGCATGCAGGAGGCAGCAGATCAGAGTTTCTCATCATTGATGTTTCTATCTATCTCTTCCTCTCTGAAGTCAATGAAAATATATTTGAATATGTATTTATATTTCATAAGTTTATATATAAATTTATATGTATATTTATATGTAAACTACATATATTTCTGATTATAAAAAAAGAGTAAAAACAAATAAAAATTAGTAATTAAAGGGACAGAATTAAGCATTTGCCCTGCCTTTTTAGGAGCCTTGCAGTTCATCTCCAGTTAATAAAGGAAAACACTTAAAGAAGAATACCAGCTAATAAATATAGAAGGATTGGTAGAATTTGAAAATCGCTATTCTGTGTAACCTCTTACTCCATTGTAACTTCTGATTCAGACAAGGATTTTGAACAACAGGGTCAGAGCTCCACTGTTCTATGATAGTTCATTACTAAGCCAAATGAGATAGTAATGCCATTGCGTGAAAGGTGTTAGCATGGCACCAAGGTGTCACCCAAAGTGAAGAAACAAATGCATCTCTACTTTGAAGCTGCATGTTGTTCTCCACCTCCACAACCTGGTGGGTTTACCATCACTAATAGGGAACAGAGGACTCTTTTATACCTACAGCTGTAATGTGGCATGGAGACATGATGTCATCTACTCAGTTTTCTTCCCCAAAATATTTGACATGAATATGTAGACCTAACTTCCGGTTATAGGAATTATGGGGGCTAGAGGATCAGTTTGTAAAATGAGATGAGGAATAGGTGGAGGTATAGATGAAACAAGAACCCCCAGAAATTAAGAATTATTGAAGCTGGCTGTTGGAGATTTATTATGTTACTCTGTTTACTTTATATATATTTGAAATTTTCTATAATAAAGACTTAATGAAAAAAACACTATGAGATACGATTAGACAAATCCAGAATATGGGATAGTCTACATTCTGGTCTCCTTAAAGAGTTAGTCATGGAGGGGGAAAAAGGTGGGGCCTATTCTAGGTTAAAAGGACATCACCAAATGCAGTATTTTGTGCACCATGTTGAATGAACATTGATTGAGTCCTGGTTCTAGAAAATTGTCTTAAAAAACATTTTGTGGAAATTTTGAAAAAGTTGCAAATGGACTGAATATTAGGTGATGTTAGAAACATTTTCTTAGGCAAGATGATGGTTTTGTGGTGTACAGGAGAAAATATTTATTTTGGAGAAATGCATGATGAAGTCATGATGTGGGGGATTTTCAGGTAGTCAGCACCCCCCACTCAAATCCCTCACATGCACATAAGCAGATATGGCATAATGGTAACCATTGTTAGATTTATTTGTTTATTTTTAAAACATTTTTTATTGATTTTAGTGAGGAAGGGAGAGGGAGAGAGAGAGAGGAACATCAGTAACATCAATGGTGAGAAGAGAATCATTGATCGGCTGCCTCCTGCATGCCCACTACTGGGGATTGAGCCCGCAACCTGGGTATGTGCCCTTGACTGGAATCAAACCCAGGACCAGTCCACAGGCCGATGCTCTATCCACTGAGCCAAACCGGCTAGGCCTTAACAACTGTTAGATTTAGATGAAACAGGTGTTCACTGTATTATTTCAACTTTTCTTACTGAATATTTTTAGAATAAAAAGTTTTGGGGCGGGGGAGAATATATTTATAGCAGTTGGATTAATTGTTGGGCTATTGACAAGAGATTTCAAGACTTTTTGAGTAATGTTAAATTCCTTAGTGGTAAGCACTGCAATCTTGGTACCTGGACATTGCTTTTTTGTGTTTTCCCCCATTAACTGTTTCCTGATGAACATTGTACCCTTCTAACAATATACTGGGAACAATAAACTGAATTATTCCTAAACTTGAGGGCATGTGTAAAAGCATTTCTGTCCAGGAGTGTTGAAGCCAGTGACCATTTTTTAAAAAAATATATTTGATTGATTTCCAAGAGGAAGGGAGAGGGATAGAAAGATAGAAACATCAATGATGAGAGAGAATCATTGATTGGCTAGGGTGCCAGTGACCATTTTGATATTTCCCCCCCGCCCCTCACCCCATGTAACCATATGGTTAGTGTAGTTGTGAAAGTGGCATGACGATATCCAACAAGTGTTTGTTTGTTTTTTTTAATATGTATTTTTTATTTTTCAGAGAGGAAGGGAGAGGGAGAGAGAAATAGAAACATCAATGATGAGAGAGAATCATTGATTGGCTGCCTCCTGCACAACCCACACTGGGGATTGAGGCTGCAAGTCAAACATATGCCCTGACCTGGAATCAAACCGTGATCTCCTGGTTCATTGGTTGATGCTTAACCACAGAGCCATGCTGGCCGTGCTCAAACTAATTCTTTGCTTCTATGTTTCCATCTTAGATTCTCCAAAGGATGATTGCATGTTTACTAGTTTCCATGGATGTGCAGTTAGTTGAATTGTCTCTTTTGTCTCCGTTTATCTTTTTTTTTAATTAAATCTTTATTGTTCAGAATTATTACATTTGTTCCTCTTTTTTTTCCCCCCATAACTCCTCTCCTTCCAGCTCCCACCCCACACTCTGCCCTCACTCCCCACCCTCTGTCCTCATCCATAGGTGCACGATTTTTGTCCAGTCCCTTCCTGCATCTCCCACACCCCTCCCCCCCCCCGAAGAATAGTCAGTCTATTCCCTTTCTATGTCCCTGATTCTATTATAATCAACAATTCATTCTGTTCCTCAGATTATTTATTCACTTGATTCTTAGATTCATTTGTTGATAGATGCATATTTGTTGTTCATAATTTGTATCTTTACCTTTTTCTTCTTCTTCCTCTTCTTAAAGGATACCTTTCAGCATTTCATATAATACTGGTTTAGTGGTGATGAACTCCTTTAGCTTTTCCTTATCTGTGAAGCTCTTTATCTGACCTTCAATTCTGAATGATAGCTTTGCTGGATAAAGTAACCTTGGTTGTAGGTTCTTGGCATTCATCACTTTGAATATTTCTTGCCACTCCCTTCTGGCCTGCAAAGTTTCTGTTGAGAAATCAGCTGACAGTCGTCTGGGTATTCCCTTGTAGGTAACTGAGTTTCTTTCTCTTGCTGCTTTTAAGATTCTCTCTTTGTCCTTTGCTCTTGGCATTTTAATTATGATGTGTCTTGGTGTGGTCCTCTTTGGATTCCTTTTGTTTGGGGTTCTCTGCGCTTCCTGGACCTGTAAGTCTATTTCTTTCACCAAGTAGGGGAAGTTTTCTGTCATTATTTCTTCAAATAGGTTTTCAATATCTTGCTCTCTCTCATCTTCTGGTGCCCCTATAATTCTGATGTTGGTACGTTTGAAGCTGTCCCAGAGGCTCCTTACACTATCTTCGTATTTTCGGGTTCTTTTTTCCTTTTGCTTTTCCAGTTGGGTGTTTTTTGATTCTTCGAATTTCAAATCTTTGACTTGATTCTTGCGCTCCTCTGGTCTGCTGTTGGGAGTGTGTATAATATTCTTTATTTCAGTCCGTGGATGCTTAATTTCTAGTTGGTTCTTTATCACAGCATCGAGGGTCTCATTAGATTTCTTGTAGATCTCAATAAGTTTATCGGCGGCTTCTAGACAGTTCTCGAGAGACCTTAAAAGTGTGGTTCTGAACTCAGTATCCTCCCTTGATAATTTTGTCCTGTTTCTTTGTCTCAGCATTTTTTACCCTTTCTTGGTGCACCCCCTAGTGGTCTTTGTGCGTAGTCTTGTTGTAGTTAAGCCTTGATTGTTGTAGTTAATACTAGTGGGATTTGACCACCAGGCCCACTGGCTATGAGAATCAGCTGTGTCTGCAGTGGGAAAACTTCTGTCCTCTGGAGAGGTGCTTATCTAGCCTTTGCCTGAGGCTATCCGGCAAATGGCTCTGCGCAGGGCTTGGGCGGGGCGGGTCCCAGGGGATCAACAGGGCAGGCAGGCGGAGGGAGCAGTTATGGCTGCTGTCAGTCCCGTTCCCAGAGGCTCTGCTTCTCAGAACCCCAGCAACCGCTGCAAACCTCGGAAAGAAAGCTGCCCTCACGTTCCGACCGATGCCAGACAATCCTGCTTCTCCCATTTGAGTCTGAGTCCCTAGAGACTCGCCCGGATCTGGAGCTCAGAGTCTGAGACTCCCTCCCAATTGAAAACGACAACCGCACCCTCAGCCACCAGCCCGCCCCACGCGCACCTCCGTACCTTTGTATTTTCCACACTGCGCCTCCTCTGAGCCTCGGTATGCTGTTCTCTTTCCTTCTAGTTGAAGAATCTCTCCTCAGCCAGCCTTCCTGTGGTTCTGGGTGATGTCCGTTCCGTCTTTTAGTTGTATTTTTGAAGTGGTTGTTTGAGGCAGCAAACTCCGGTGTGTACCTATGCCGCCATCTTGGTTTCTCCCTTGTCTCCGTTATCTTAAGCTTGCTTGTAAATAGAACAATAAGATTTTTAATTTCAGTCCTTTTGGTCTGGAAAACATACTGTTATTTAGTCTTCTTACTATATGGGGGAAGATATTTTATATTTGATTAGGAATCAATACCAGGTGTATGTGACTCAGATTTAGTTGAACAAATAAACAGGTAACTAAAATGCTGTATGCAGATAAATTAAAATGCCATGTAATACCTGTGTGTCCACAGTGTGGTGAGAGTCAGGGGACTGGCTCTGAAGGAAGGATATCTCAAAGAAGTTGCTGATTGAACTGGAAGTTGGGAAAAGAAGGGCATTCTAGACAGAGCGAGTCAGCCAAATGATTTATGGAAAAACATGGTGTTTTCTAAGTTCAGAATGGATGTACCCAGGGTTTGGGTGTGGAGAGATGCTTGCAGGTGCTGAGTGGATCCAAATTGAAGGGCCTTGTTTGTACCTGGCAACTTGAAATTTAAACTGTACACAGAAGGAACCTGTCAAGGATGTTAAAATGGAAAGTACATCTTCAGTTCTGTACTTTGAGAAGATATGACTTTGGTGGCAATTTGTAGGATGTGTAGGATTGGCTGGAGAGTAGAGACTGTTGTCAAGGATACTGTTCTATGATAGTTCAGGGAGGAAAGATTGGCTCTGAAGAGAGAAGACGGAGATGAGAGACAGAGCTGAGGGAATGTGCAAGTCCTTAGACATCAGGAGTAAGGGAGAGTATGGAAATACTATTGGGGTGGGGATGGGAGTGGCCTGAAAGAGATTAATGGGGGGAAAGGAGGACCTATGTAATACTTTCAACAATATAGATTTAAAAAATAAAAATAAAATAAAATACTATCTTAGAGACTGGGAGGATGGGATTTCATAAAAGGAAGCTGAGTCAATAATAGGTACAGCGTAGATTTTGGACATTTCAGGAGGGAGTGCAGCTCTAATGCCGGTTTTTCCTAAATTCAACAACCACAGATCAGACAGTTCAATTTAAAACTGGACAGAGGGCTTGAATGGACATTTCTCTAAAGATGTGTACATGGCCAATGAGCACATGAAACAGTGCTCAGCATGTTTAATCATTAGGCATATGCAAATCAAAACCACAGTGAGATACTATGTCATACCTACTGAGATGACTGATATATTAAACAATGAAAAAAATAAGTGAGGATGTTTAAACTGGAACCCTGTGATTACTGGTGGAAAAGTAAAAATGCCACTGTGGGAAACCATTTGCTGTTTCTCAAAAAGTTAAACCTAGGCAGGGTGGAGGGGATCAATGAGGGATAGAAAGGGACATCTATAATATTTTCAACAATAAATTTCAAGATAAATAAGGGGGGAAAAGTTAAACCTAGAATCACCATATGATCCAACAATTCCCCTTTTGAGTATATATACACAAAAGACAGAAGCATCGATCAGATGCTCAAACCTCAGAGGGAAGGTAGGGGAGGGTGGGGGTAAGGGGTAGAGGTCAACCAAAGGACTTGTATACATGCATATAAGCATAACCAATGGACACAGACACCAGGGGAGTGAGGTCATGAACAGGAGTGGAGTGGGGGGCAATGGGGGGTTAGGACACATATGTAATACCTTAATAAACAATGTTGAAATTAAAAAAAAAGATTTGAAAGCAGGGACTCAGTCAAACACCAGTGTTCATAGCAGCATTATTCACAATAGTTGAAATTGGAAACAACTCCAGTGTGTATGCAGAGATGACTGGATATACAATATGTGGTATATGCCTACAATGAAATATTTAGCCTTTAAAATGAAGGAAATTCTGAGATGTGCTACAACATGGATGAACCTTGAGGATGTTATACCCAACATAACATAAATACTGTATAATTCCACCTTCATGGGGTACTTTGCTTCGAATAGGTAAATTCATAAGGACAGAAAATATAATAGAAGCTGAGGGAGGGGGAAAGGGGGAGTTGTTGAATTGGCAGTTTCTGTTTGGGGCAATGGAAAAGTTCTGGAAATGGATAGCAATGAGGTTACACAACTTTATGAATGAATGTATTTAATGGTACTGAATTTGTACACCACAAAATGGTTAAAATGGTAAATTTTACACTATGTATATTTAACCACAATTGAAAAACCCATAAAATACCATTAAATAATTTCAAGTAAGTGATTGTTAGGCATGCTAGTGAAAGTTGAATGGCATTTCCTAGTTTATATTTTGCAAGATGAAAGGGGAAGTTTAGTTTTTCTAAAGATTTTTTTCTGACTGTCTAAGATTGATAAGATCATTAAGAAAACTGTAGGTTATGAATAGCTCTTCTGGTAATCTTTAGTTTTATAAAGGACATAGGGTCAATACAGGTTGAGCCACGGTTTGAGGTCACTTTTGTGGCAAGGCTTCTATCTAGTAGATTTTTAAAATTTTGTCTACACTTTTCTTAAAATGTATTTACACACATACTTTATCTTTTCTTATAATATTTATCATTACTTTGTTTAATTTTATTTTACCTTACTTTTTTTGTTCCCATGGTGCATGTGTTGAGCTGGTGAGGAGATAGTATATATCTATATATCATAATTATTTATTTATTTATTTTAAAAATCTTTCTTTTTGAAAAGTATTATAGATGTCTCCCCTTTTTTATTGTCCCCTTCTAGCTCACCATAATTCTTATTTAGATACTATTTGTTAACAGGCTATTATTTAGATGCAATTCTTAGATAAGCATTATGTTTTAATTTTAGGCATTTATCATATCACAGGGTAAGTCTGAAAAAGCCTACAATAAGTTTCTTTTTGGAATTTTATTGAACTTTTTGATTCCAAATGTATACCTCTTTTTGTTGTTGTTCAAAACAAAATGAATAATGGTGGTTTTGTCTAAGCATTTTTATATTATTCATTAAAGGAAGAGTCCCACATCTCTTTCCGGAGAAGGTGCTGTGGAGACTGTGGAAATGACAACAAAGAGCCTCAAATCTCGTGGAGAAGGTGCTTTGGAGACTGGAAATGACAACAGAGGATTTAGAATATCACTAAAATCATTTAGGTGTTTTGGTATTCCTTTCATTTTCCAGCATTGTGATTACTTAATTTTCAAAATGTTTTAACTGATTTCAGGGACAGGAAGGGAGAGGGAGAGAAATAGAAATATCAATGATGAGAGAGAATCATCAGTTGGCTGCCTCCTGCACACTCCCTCCTGGGAATAAAACCAGAAACCTGGGCATGTGCCCTGGTCAGGAATTAAACCATGACCTCTTGGTTCATGGATTGATGCTCAACCACTGAGCCACACCTGCTGGGCCAGCATTGTGATTTTTTTTCATATTCTTAGATCAACTTAATGTGAAAATGGAACTTGAATTGCTTTAGTTGAATTTTTTTATTGTTTAAAGCAGCGGTTCTCAACCTGTGGGTCTTGAGCCTTTTGGGGGTCAAACGACCCTTTCACAGGGGTCGCCTAATACCATCGAAAAACACATATATAATTACATATTGTTTCTGTGATTAATCACTATGCTTTAATTATGTCCAATTTGTAACAATGAAATTGGGGGTCAACACAACATGAGGAACTGTATTAAAGGGTCTCGGCATTAGGAAGGTTGAGTTTAACACAGGTTTAAAGTATTACATATGTCTCCTTTTCCCCCCATCGCCCCCTCCTTGATCACTCCCACCCCCCTAATTACAAGGAGGCATGATTTAAAAATCAATATCTGTTTCTTCTTCTCGGGATTGGGAGTATTTACTGAATTCAGACCACCACCAGAAGGTTGAGTCTCACCTTTTTAACAGATTTTTGTGTCTGAATCCTTTGGAAAGTTTCTCAGATGAAGGATGAAGACTTGTCAGAGAATCTCAGTCTGGATTCTTCTACACTTCTCTCACACACCTGCAATCTTTTTCCTTCTTCACTGGGTCTCTGAGGAGCCTAAATGGAATACTCTGATGGGAGAAGGAATTCATTCACTTGTTGACCCCCCTTGTTCAGTTGGCAAGGTAAATACTGTGTGTAGAGTGAAAACTTCCAGGAGTGCTCAGGTGACTCAGAAATTGGCCTTCTTAAGAACCCAGAGCATTTTTTGCAAAACACAGACTTATTTGAAGATACTGGCCATGTAAGGGCTTGTGAGTCATCTTTGTCCTAAGATCAGCAGGAAGTCAGGAAACATGTTAAACACTGGGGGTGACCCGAAGAGCATTTCATGTTGACAAGCTGACTGCCTGCACTGTGGTGGAAGGTCTATAACAATACCTGCTATGCTGTAACAATACCTACATTCTAGTAGTGCTTACAGTTCAGAGAATTGCAGTTTAGCTACATAAATTGTCAACAAGGCAGGGAATCATGATCCCCATTCGTGATGAGAAAACCTGTCAGAGTGTGTTTCCAAGACCATGATGCTTGGCTAGCTGTGGGCTCTCTGCTGCACTTGTGCTGTCGCCTTCTGTGTCTTTCAGGTTCCTAGTGGATCTACATTTAAATGGCGCTAACACTGCACTTTCACAACCTTGCCAGCACTCTGTTTAACACTGAATTGCAAAGGTCACACACTTGGGTATTGTGACCCTTGATAATAAATAAAATTGAATGGAATAAAAATATCAACATCTGAGTTAATATTATAGCACGTTTTCTAATTTTTGTGATTTTTTTGAGATAAGTTGTATTCTGAGACATGGCACTTTTAATTTTTTTATTTCTCTTAGGAAAAATCATTACTATCATGAAAATAGTTTTGTAATGAAATGATTTCCAACCCTAATCATGGGCTCTGGTATTTTTCACATATTTTATTTAGTTTTAAAACATCACAGTGAATTAACTGGTATTTCCCCATTTTCTGGAAGAAAATATTGAGGGTCTAGAGATGGTTTGTTGAAGAACAACAGCTAGTAGGAAATGGAACAGAACCGAGATCACACTGTTTATATAGTAGTTTCTACTGCACAAAATTTGTCTAGCAAAAGTAGTTGAGGATTCACTTATCATACTGGGCACTGGAAAGTCCAGAAATAGAAAAAAGAGGCTCTGGATTTGATTATCTTTTTACTCATAAGTATGTTTTTAAATTGGAAAGTTCTGTTGATGAATGCTAACTGTTGAGGGTAGATATTGTAATACCTTCCTAGTTATTTCTATGTTATATGTTCTTGTTGTTTTGGGGCCTTAAAATTGGAGTTTTACTTAGATCATTACTGCAAGGATTACACAGTGCTTTTCAGACTACTGAAGAAGTATGCATGATTGATCAAGGTAAGCATCTGTGTCATTACAGCTTTTGTGAACAGTATAGTGACATTTGCTTGTATTTCTGTTATGTTTGGACTCTATGTCATCAACTCAGTTCTAAACAACATAGAGGACAGCCCAGCTGATGGGGTGTCAGGTCCTGTCACTTGTCTTGTGCTCTCGTTCTTGAGGTCCCTTCCTTCCTCTCAGCCTCTCTCTCGCTTTCTCTCTGTGTGCATCTCTGTCTGTGCCACTGACCTGTTGTTCTCTCTTGAAGCTGAGTCCACACCCTTTTCCTTAGCACTTTAGTAAATCTTGGTTTAGGTAAGTTCTCCACTTTACTCTGAGAGTGTCTTGGTCTGAGAAAATATACGGCATATTGTGCTGCTTTATTATAACTTCTAGACATAACCTGTCAAGTCCCATGAGTGGAATAGATTTCAACCTTGACATTCCTAATACAATGATTCTAGTGTGAAGCCATCAAGCTTAGCACCAAGAGTACTAAGCCACATTGACTTCAGGGCCTCCTGATACCATGTGTTCTCTGTGAGCTGTCAACCTCTAGTATTGCCGGGTCCCTAAGCATTCTCTGCCGGCAGCACGAAGGATCTTTTGAAAATGTAAATATGATCATGTCTCTTATGAAAACTAACAGTGGTCTCCTATGGCCTTTAGAAATGAGTCCCTAATCCTTAGCGTGTCCGTCCAGGCCCTCTATGATCTGACCTTAGCTTCTTTGGCAGTCGTGTCTCTCCCTCACCCCTTCTCTGTGGTCACACTTTGAGATCCTGATTGGCATCACACCCTCCCAGCCCAGCTTAGAGCTGTGCCATGCCCTGTGTCCCAACGTCTCCCTCTGGAGTCGGTGGAAGTCTGGTGTTCTTTCAGGCACCTCCCATCTTTCCCCTGTCCTGCTCTCTGCTCTCATAGTTTTTGTTTGGGTTTTTGTTGTTGTTGTTGTTGTTGTTTTTTGCAATACCATGCAATGCTACAACCTTGTCCACCCTCAGGAGTGTTAAGGATCTCATTCAGTGTGCAAGCTGAGAATTATAGGCAGCAGAATAGTGATGAAGCTAACAGTAGGGATTTGTCTTTCTCACAAAATAACAAGTGCACAGGTAGGTGGATCCAGTATTGAATTCAGCTGCTCAATGATGTCAGGGTAAGCTCCCAGCATCAACGAGAGGAAGAAAAGTCCGTACATTTCTTCTGTGTGGACTTGTGGAGGAAAGGTGTCCAGACATTCAGGGATGACTGTTTCACAACGGTTTCCTAGTGTCTTGAAGTTCCCTGTCTCATGGGGCAGTTTGGTGTCAAACTGCTCCTGAAGGAGGTGCCTCAGCCCAGGAGGAGGTGGTGAGGGGGAAGGGCAGTGGGGACAGCGGGGGCGTTAGGGACTAAGGGGTGGAGTGAGGAGGCTGGCGAAGGGGAGAGAGAAACATCAATGATGAGTTCTGTGTGGACTTGTGGAGGAAAGGTGTCCAGACATTCAGGGATGACTGTTTCACAACGGTTTCCTAGTGTCTTGAAGTTCCCTGTCTCATAGGGTCTATATTATCCACATATAACTTGTTAGACGTATATGTTTTAATTGATCTCAGAGAGAGGAAGGGAAAGGGAACAAAGACAGCGGGGGCGTTAGGGACTAAGTGGTGGAGTAAGGAGGCTGGAGAAGGGGAGAGAGAAACATCAATGATGAGAGAGCATCTTTGGTCACATAGCCCCTAGCGTGCAACCCCGGTACTGGCCCTGACTGGGAATGAAACGGGGATCCCTTGGTTCTGGGGTCGACGCTCAAGCACTGAGCCACACCAGCCCGGCAGCCACAGGTCACTTTAAAATGAAACTTTTATTCATTCAAATTTAGTAAAACGTAAAATTCACTGAGACGTTTAGGTGTCTCTTGTTGGATAGCTGAGGAGTGTTGGCTTGGTGTATTGACCAGCTGGTTTGCCTTGAAAGCAAATATGAAATGAAAGAAAGGAAATGTGTCTCCCCTCAGAGCAAGAGTGTTCACATGAGAACGATGAGCTTTGGATGGTTGGGCCACCGCACTGAATGGATCCCTCTTGCACAGCGTGCCTCCTTTGGAAATACTCACCAGTGGCATTCCTTTGTCCTTTTCTGCTTAGAATTTTCTGACATGATGCTTTTCATTTTAATTATAGATTGTTGCAGTGGTGGTGTCAGTGAACTATGGCCCTTCCGGTAGAACCAGGGCTGTGTACCTTGTTTCCGGACCGTCCTGTTCCAGTGGAACCATTGCCTCTTCCTAAGCTGAGTTGGACTGGTGAGTTAAATTCTGGGCTCATGGAGGAAGGGAAATGATTAAGGAAGTGTTTAGTGGAGGGAGTTGTTTTGAGTCACTCCTGTTGCAACCAAAGCAATGCTCTTTTGCTCCCTAGTGATTTTAAATATGGTTAAGAGCTAGTCTAGTGGTTGTTTCTGGCCAAATAGCAAATCTAGCTAAACAGCGAGGGAACTAGGATGCCCCCCATTAAGTGAATTTTCCTTTTATGAGAACATTTCAAGATGCAAATTGGCACTTGGGAAAGTTTAGAAAGGTTTGATTGAGTCTGGCCAGTGTCGCCCAGTGGTCCAACTGGGCAGGAGTGCACAGTTGGTGTGATTCCGGGTCAGGGCACAGGCCCGGGTTGCAGACTGGATCACCAATAGGGGTCGTGAAGGAGGCAACCGATCAATGCTTCAATCTCATCATTTACGTCTCTGTCTCGCCCCTTCTCCCTCCCTGAAATCAATCAAAGTGTATTTCTAACATATATATTGAGTCTAACCCCGGCTGATGTGGCTCAGTAGATGGGCATCTCCCCTTGCACTGAAAGGTTTCCGGATCAGTTCCCAGGGAGGGCAC